AATTCCTGTTTATTTCGCCATTATTTAATGCCGTGGTGCATAATCAAACATCACTTTATTGCATCGAGATCACTTTATTGCATCCAAGTGGATGCAATCAAGTAAATTTTCGGGAAATGGAATAGGAACAAAAAAATTAGTTGAAATAAAGAGAAATATTGCTATTACCAGACAAATTGATGTTGAAAACCTTTTTGCCATCATCTGCGACCGCTGTGCACGTTTTTGAGTGGCTGCATTTAGTGACTGTACTTCCGGAGCCTGTTTTCGTCACTGTAGTGGCAACAACCTGTGATGAAATTTCTCCATTTTCAGTTTTGCTGCTGGTTGCCGTTGCAGATCCGGTGAGCAATTTTGCCATTTTCCTCGCCCTGTCTTTGGTTTCGTCACAATACTTCAGTGCGGTGGCATCCTGCTTCCAATCAAAGTGGCGCTTCATCATTAAGGTGTTAGCTCCAGCATTTGCCGCTGCAGTGGCTGCTGTCCTTCTGAAGCAGTGTCCGGTGTACGTTTTTGGGTTCTCCAGGTGAAGTTCTTCGGCCACTTTCTGACCAATTTGGTGAATATAGTTCCTGCCCATGACCGCTTTTCCATATCCTGATTTTGTGCAGGTGTGGAACAACTCATCTGTATCCTTGATGTCAGGCAAACTCTTGGTGAGAAGGTCCATGTATTGGATCACCCTGGTGGCAAAACACATTGAAGGCTCAGTCTTGTTGTAAGGGACCAGGAACTTATTTTTCTTGACTTCCCCTTTCTGCTTTCCTGCCCTGTAGGCCACCCAAACTCCTTCCTCATCACGGGAGATTGCATCATAGGTCAGAGATTTGAGCTCAATGCACCTCATGCCACCACAGTAGGCTAGGACCACAGCACACTTTCTCAGGATCCAATCAGGTGTTGAATAATGCAGTTGTATGGCCCTGTTAATCTCTTCAGGGCTGAATATCTTGGCCACTTTTCTCTCATAATTATGCTCGTACTGCTTCAGGAGCAAGGTGATCCTGGGCCATTGCTGCAGCTTTTTTCCATATCTTCTCTGAAAGCAGTTATTGAGCCTGCTGTAGGTAGTCCACAAGCTGGAAGCCTTAAACTCCTTCTCAGTGCGGAGATGATAGAAGTACTTGATGAAGTTGTCCTCTTTTGGTTGGTTCTCATCATCCCATTCTGTTCCCGGAGTCAAGTTGCTGTCGCAAAAGACCAAAAAGCTTTCCCATGCCTTGTCATATGCTGACTTGCTCTTGGTAGGGGCCACACTGTTCAGTATTTCGTCAGCAGTTGGTAATTTGTTCATAATGTTCAGGATGCAGTAAAAATTCGCGTGCACTTGATTGAAAATTCGTTGAAGGGTAGCAGTTTCCCGAAAATTTTTGCCAAAACCAACTGAAATTGTTTTTTGCAGAAAAAGATGCCACCTCAAACGAGGACCCGGATTCGAAGCATTAAATATGGCGCAAACAACAGAAAACCGGTTGGGCGTTAAATTACAAATTACCCTGCATCACATGGACGTTATTGAACCTCGTTTGATTCGAATGCCCTCGTGCTTCTGGATATCCCTCGGGCTACGCCCTCGGGATATCAAAGCACACTCGGGCATTCGAATCAAACTCGGTGCAATAAAGTCCTATTTGATGCAGGGTAATATATAGTTATA